TGCCTGCCACCTCCGTCTCCTACAGGCTTTTCGTGGAATTGTAGCTTGTCCTTCTATGGCTGCCTCCTCCTTTTGCTTCTCCACTCTCTGACATGCCTAAAATTAAAGAAAAAGAAGAGATTTGGTGTTGCACGTATAAAATGGGAAGGTTTACTAGTCATACTAGCCATACTACTACTAGTAACTAATGTGCAGCAGGCCCCCCTCCTCGTCTGTACCGAGCCTTGTGGTGGCCAAGCCCAGAATTTTTGGTGCTGGATTGCCCACGTCTGGTACCCGTCTGCTAGACAGGTGGCAGCCCCTTGACAGCTGCAACACTGTGATGGGTCAAGATAAAAACACCTTGGTCTTTGGAGGCAAAACTGGATTTCACCCAGGTATGTGAGTTTTCAGGAACGGTTTGCCTTAAGGTTGCAGGATGAAGTCAAGAGTATACTTTTGGGAGAAGAGATGACTGTTTAGGGAAGTAGGTGAAGAAAGGAAGGAGAGGGAAGAGGAATAATGTAACTTTTGCTTCATTCTAATAAGCTGTGGTTTACCCCTGAATCCTGTTGCACCTTCTCAATACATTTCAGCTGCTGGAAATAACTTAAAAAAGCCCAGTCCCAGCAACAGAGCTGGGCTGCCCTGTACCACACGTCTTGGAAAGGGAGCAATGCTCCTGACAACCTGTTGATGTAAAGAATTGGAGTGACAAATAGGTACATGACAGTAAGGTAACCCATTGGGCTTTCAAGTACTTTGTCTTTCCATGAAAAACAGGTGTCCAGGAGCAAACCTGCAAATGTCCAGTGTCTTTTCTGTTCTATAGATGCTTTGTCTCTTCTACTTTAAAATGTGTAGGTTTTTCTCTCATATTCCATCCTTTTCTGATTTTTCTCTTTCAAGCCAATGTCTAATGAAGAAAGAATTAGGTGTCTGTCTTCATTTACTGGAGTCTGTATAATGGGAGATACTGCACATACAGAGCACATAATTCCATGGTGCATGGTGTACATTGGTTTTTTCTTTTACTTTGCTGCCAAGGACCTGTGTGTGGTGGCTGTGGGAGAATTCTGAGGGTGTGTGAGGGAAACTGTCAGCTTTTTTCGTGTGTCTGATGTCACTGTGTAAGAACCAAAAACAAAGGGAGGAAAATGTCAGGATAAAAAAGGTTATTTGAAGACAGCAAATGTGTTTGGGAGCCAGCTATGCAGGGGGATGGGTATCCATCTGACTGTATGTGCTTGTTCAGTCTAAAGTACAGTTAATTTTCTTCATAGTCACTTCTGTGGGGTGATGTTTTGTGCTGGAAATAATTCGGGAATGTTTTTGTTTACTGCTCAGCAGCGCTCCTCGGGTCAAGGCCTTTTCTGCTGCTCACCGCACCCCACTAGTGAGTGGCCTGGGGGTGCGCAAGGAATTGGGAGAGGACACAGCTGGGACAGCTGATTCCAGCTGACCCAGGGGATATCCCAGGCCATATGGCATTGTGGTCAGCATATAGAACTGGGGGAAAAAGAAGGGAACAGTTTGGAGTGATGATGGTTGTCTTCCCAAGTCACTGTTACACGTGATGGGGTCCTGCTTTCCTAGCAATGGCTCAACTCCTGCCTGCCCATGGGAAGTGCTGAATGAATTCCCTGTCTCCCTTTGCGTATGTATGTGTGCAGCTTTTGCTTTACCTATTAAAGTGTCTTTTTCTCAACCCACAGTTTCTCAACCCACCCAATTTTCTCACATTTACCCTTCCAATTCTCTCCCCCATCCTGCTGCGAAGAACGTGAGCGAGTGGCTGGGCAGTGATTAAACCACTAAAAAGTTGCTGGCAGGGATTAAACCACAACGCTGTACTGAGCTGATTAGCCCTGGTATAGAAGTTTGCAAAATGCTAGAAGCTGCAGCTGTGTCCAGATGAATAACTGAGGTTCCAGACAGACACAGAAAAAGGTTTGCCCTGAAGCCAGTGGGAAAAAAGAGGCCGTGTTGAGGGTAGTCGTGTTTAGCCTCTCTTCAATAGTACAGAGTCATTATAAGGGTTTGATTTTTGTATTAGCAACTTCTGAAAATTAAAGCAGTGACTTGAAGTGGATTGATGCAGTTGTGCAACTGTATCTGCATAAAAACTGATGCTCACAAGACAGTTGGGAAATTTTGGCCCTACTCTAACAGGGATCTTAGGTGACACCTAAATTTTATTCCTTTTAGGATGGTTCAGTTCTGACTGACTCAACCAAACCTCTTGAAGTGTCAGGAACCATTCTTCAGCAAACCTGAATCTGGTATCTGGGTCGTTAAGCTTTAGATTAAAACCTTCCTAATCCACATTTTAAGCTGTCACAGTCGAGGTCAGAGTTGTGTTTAAGGTCTCACGCAATATTCCTGTAAGCACAAAACTAGAGTAGCTTATCTGTAGTGTATTTGTAAAACATTTATTTATTCTGGTGGGACTGAAAACCAAAGCACTCAACACACTTAAATCAGTAGTAGAGTATCTGTTTATAGGTTTTGAACAAATTGATCAGACTAATTTTTTAAAACATACACATAGACTGATGTGATTTTGTCTAGCTAGAGTGATTGAGGACGTACTTTTTCAGTAAAGAGGCCACAAAACAGTCTAGCTCTAATTGAAAGTATAGTTATAGGAAAACTATCTTTTTTTTCCCCTTTTCTTTCTGAAAGGAATAAAGTAATGTGTCCTGATGCAGTATAACCCTACTCCAGAACATAAACAAATGCTTCCTCATGATCAAAATAGTTTACTCTCTGAAGAAATATCTACAAAAAAAGCTATTGTGTTTTAAACACCTGAAACCAGTATTTTTCTCCTGTTGTTAGCAAAGTCAGTACTTAGCAGTTCTGGGGAGAACCAAGTGATCACTACCAGTGTGACAGCTCCTGCTAATTGCCAGTAAAGTATTTCCAGTCTTTAACTAGAGAATCGTGCTTTAGGCTGTTGGTAGGCAAGACAAAACATAAAACGTGTTCAAATTTTACATATTAAATTACAAAAACCTCTAGCAATGGTCTGAATTATCAGCTTTTTCACCTTCCTGTAACTAGTTTCAATTCATATTCAGTTGTTTCTGTAATGGAGAACCAAGAGTAAAAAAATGAAATGTAAAAGGACTTAAAGCTCCAGGCTCTCTTTGCCCTGCACAAAAAGGGTTCTAATTGTTAGCTTAGTGTCGTATTTCAGACCTTCCTCATAATAGCTGTTGCTCAGTAAATTGACTTCCAGCTTGACTAGCTCTGTCTAGTGCCAGTTCTTCTAGTGCTTTTTCCATGCTAGGCTTGACAGCCGTTGAGAGGACAAGTCACTGGTCTGTGCATCCTGTTCCTCAACTGCTTGCTCTTGTATGCCATCTGAATTGCAGCAGTCTTGAATATTTGTAGATTCTTAATAAAATTCCTCTGGGAATCAGCTTGAAATGTAGTTTACAGATGAGTAGCCGCATTTTATGTTGATTAAAGTTTTTATGCTGTTATTTGTTAGTGATGTTAAACAGAACAAAATGATGCTTTTGCAAAAACAGCTAAGCATTGGAAAAAACAGAGGGCTGTAGTTTACCGAGCTAGGGCTTCACTGGATGCCAAAATGTTGTTATTATAGATGTCTTAGAAACCCTATGGATATTTAAGGTTTCTGTCTTTGTGAGACTGTGTTATTTTTTTTCCTAGATAAGCAACGTCTTGTTTTTCATTTTACCGCCCATATGTATGTGCTTGTTCCGTCAATATGCAATCTGCTTCAACAGTGGAATGTATTTAATATGGACTCTGCTAGTCGTGGTTGGTAAGTTGATTAGTCTGTTTGCCAACTCATGTGTGAATTGAGAGAGGAAATCAGTTCTTATTGCTTGCATTTCATTGTTTTGCAAAATAAAGCAATCTTGACATGTACAGAAGAGTTTGCCTGTACCTGCATAAAGCTGAAACAGCCATAGTTTCTGAAAGGAAGATGCCTTTTGCAATTTGAGGTTGGTGAGAACTTTGGCCATAGTTCTGTTCCCTTCCTATCTTTTTGCACACTTTTCTTTTTTCATGTTTGGGCTTACTCTACAGCAGTGCTGACCCTCCTTCCTATGTTGTCGTTTAAACGAGAGCTGAAAGAGCCAGTGCAACTGAAGAGGGTAATAGGTTTTGCGTTGTATTGAGAAGGGCCAAAAGCTGAGCTGTTTTGTAGATGTGAGATTCTGAAGTGTGTTCATTCCTGGGGGCACTTTAAAGGAATAACCAGAGCGCTCTGGGGCACTGTGACACTTTCCACCTGTAAACCTACATGATCGAGTAGTCAAGAGATGCTGCTTTTTATCTTTGTCTTACCTATTCTTCTGCTATTGAGAAAATTCAGAAGCAGCATTTGGCTTGTGTTTCTTAATTGATTTTGCATTATACTTTTCCACATGATGTCTCTTCATATACATCTGCGTTTTTAGTAGGAGCTGACATCTTCAGCCGCTACTTTTGTGAAGTGTTTGCTTTATAATTAATGAGAGGCCGATGACCTGGATTGCATCTTAGGAAAGTTGGCATTTGTTTTCTGGTTTTATTTTTTAATAATCTTTTCTCGACCAAATAGTATCCACTATTTTCTATGAAGTTCTGAGCATGAGCAGTGTGTTTTGGTCTATTATGGTACTGCAACTATTTATATTGTCTTTTGATTAATTCTTCCAGGAATTGGATCTGTTTATTTTCATGCCACACTCAGTTTCCTGGGCCAGATGCTGGATGAACTGGCTATTCTCTGGGTCCTGATGTGTGCTTTTGCCATGTGGTTCCCTAGGAGATACCTGCCCAGGGTTTTTCGAAATGACAGGTAATCATACAATCGTGCATGTACGCTTTCAAGTTTCTTGAAACTTGTTGTGCTAACACCTAAACCTGCACATAATGGCACTGAGTTATCATCCAGCCTTACCACCGCTGCTGCTGTCTTTTCTCACTCCGTTCTCTTATGGTTGCTTATATTTCAGCCCGTTTTTTTTTTAATTCCTGAGTCTACAGTTGCTGATGGCAGGGTTTGTACCCTGTAACTTCAGGTATTGGGATGAGGTGACTTGCCTCTGGAAGAGTCTATTCTTGTTTATTCCAGGGAGACCTTGACAATGAGTAGTTTATATAAGTTACAGCTAATGTAAGAGAAGCCAGCTTTCACTCTTCCTTTTGTGTATCCTGAAGTGTAAATACAAGTGGACTTATGGAAGTCAGCTCAATGTTCATCTGAATATTTAAGGCAGTGGTTAAGGCAGTGATTGTTCTCTCTGAAGATTGCTAAGACTGGTTTGTTTTTTTGTTTTTTTCCTTGACATGTGCCTTGTTAGAAGCTGCTAATGGAGGGTGGGTGAAGAGAAGTTTGTTACCTAGATTGACCATTCCTCAAAATAGCTTGCACTGGGAAGAGTGTACTTTTAATTACTCTGTAGAGCATATGTGTATGGCCCAGTTCTCTTCAACAACTTCATTAACAACTTGGACATAGGACTTGAAGGAAAACTAAGTAAATTTGCTGTTGACACAAAACTGGGAGTTGCTGCTGACTCCCTCGAAGGCAGGGAGGTCCTGCAGAGAGACCTCAACAAATTAGAGGAGTGGGCAATCACCAATTAGATTAAATTTAACAAGAGAAAGTGCTGTATTCTGCACCTGTAGCAACCCAGGATGTTCATACAGACTGGGGAATGAGATGCTGGAAAGCAGTGCCATGGAAAGGGACCTGAGGGTCATGGTTGATGGCAAGTTGGATATGAGTCATTAGTGCCCTGGCAGCCAGGAGGGCCAACCGTGTCCTGGGGGGCATCGCCAGCTGGTTGAGGGAGGTGAATGTTGTGTGCAGTTTTGGGCACTGCAATATAAGGAAGATATTAAGCTCTTAGCATCCAAAGGAGGGCAACGAAGATGGTGAAGGCCCTTGAGAGGAAGCTGCATGAGGAGCGGCTGAGGTCGTTTGGTCTGTTCAGCCTGGAGGAGTCTGAGGGGAGACCTCTTTGCAATCTTCAAAATCCTCATGAGGGGAAGCAGGAAGACAGGTGCCAATGTCTTCACTCTAGAGATCTGTGACAGGACTTGAGGAAACAGTGTGAAGCTGAGTCAGAGTGAGGTTTAGATTAGATATCAGGAAAAAGTTTTTCACCCGAAGACTGGCTGGGCACTGGAACAGACTCCCCAGGGAAGTGGTCGCAGCACTAAGCCTGTCTGAGTTCAAGAAGTATATGGACAATGCTCTCAGGTACCTATTATGATTCTTGGAGTGTCACGTGCAGGGCCAGGAGTTGGACTTGATCCTGATGGGTCCTTTTCAACTCAGCCTGTTCTATAATTTTATGTGGTTTAATGGCTTTGTCATTTAGTATATCTGCATATTGCAGCACAGTGCTGTTATAGAATACCATCAACTTAACAAGCAAACAGGCTTTACTGGGATCTTTTGGTTTATGGTGTGACTGTTAGATGTTTAGTTCAAGTGAAGAAGGATTCAGAATCTTGAATTTATGTGTAATTTATGTAAACTCTGTAAATTATCTCTCAGAAGCCTAAAGGGGCTGTTTTATTTCATCTATCACTACCTTCTGGTTGTGCTGAGTGTAACACCACAGTCTTGGCCCACAAGCTCGTTGTAGGGGTTTTATGTTAAAAAAACCCCACCTCACAGATTTATTAAAAGGGGCCTTCAGTTCTTTTATAACAGGAGAAACACTACGATGCTTCTCAGGGGGTCAAAATAATACACTTTTACTGGCAAATTTTGGAAAATAAAGGAACTTGACAAAAATTTCGAAGAAGTGTTCAATCAACATAGAGCATTTCACGAAGCATTGAGTTAGCAAATTCCAACCCATCCAGGTTTCAGTTACCCAAATCTCAAGGAAAGGAAATTAGGAGAAGAAGAAGAAGAAAGAAAGAAGGGGAGGAAAAGAGAGGTATAGCTACCACCCTAGATCCAGCTACCAGAAGTCCAGGAAGCAGCAGGGCCACAAGTATGTGCTGGCTACATGATGCTGCTTTTATTGTTTTGGACTTCTGTGACCATCCACCCCAGGTGGGGCTTCCGTTGTACCAGGCATTCTGGGGCTGGATTAGGGGCTCCAGGGGGTGTGGTGTGGGCTGGACTAAAGGCTCCAGGGATGGGCAGAAGTATGGAGCGCTGCTCCTGGTGTGCCAGTGGCTGGCAGCTGCACCAGTGGTTCTCAAGGAGGTGGGGTTATGGAGGGAGCAGAGCACAATCCCACCATGGCAGAACCCGATCTGCCCCCCTCCCCTCCCCACAGAGTTGTTTCCAGCCAGTAATAACTTTTTCATAACTTTTTTCAGTCCCTCACACTGGGTATGTATGTAGAATGGACCAAGATGTTAAACTATATTCTTTTTTAAAGGAATAACAGCACTTTTGGGGTGGAATACTGTTGAACTTCATGTTAAAACTATAAATACTAAATCTCCCAGGTTATAACTGATCCATAAAAATACTGAGATGAGGTGAAGGATGTCCCCTATCCTTTAACATTTCAGGACATGTCTCTTCCAGAGAATCTGTCAAGACAGTTACTTGTTAAGGTCTTAATTACTTTTTGAAGGATACAAGAGAGAGACATACTGTGCAAGAAGCCCTAACCTAGAACACGTTTGGTTAATATTTTTGGGGGTTTTGTGTTGCCTAGCTATTATTATGTCTATCCTGTGCTCAGTGCTGTGGTCTTCACTTCATCCTCATCACACTTTGGATTTTCAGTGCTGCAAATGTTATTATCTATCATGACCAACTGATGATGTCTTTATTCATTAAGACATTCATGTCAGATCAGAGCTTCCTACTTAAGTATCTTGTTGCCTTCCAGGAGAAAGAAAAACATTATAGCAGAAGGCAAATGGAATGAGCTAGGTGAAGGTGTTAACACTTGTGTCCATGGAATGATACTGCAGAAGTATATTGAGACCCTACTTCAGACATAGAAGAGCCATTTTGGGACAGCAACTCTTTTATAAAGCTATGGGCCAGTAGTTGGAAGGGCAATGTGATGATCCTCTGTCTGCCATAATCCCCCCACAGACTGGAAATGGGTTGCTTAAAGTCCAAACTTGAAGTTTAAACAACAGTTTACATATATTTAACTTAAAAGTTGTTAGGCTGTCTGCACAGGGCCCAATTCTGATTTCATTTATGCTAAGAATATACCAAATCCTAGTCTTATAAAAGAGCATTTTGGGAATTGCTTACCTACTGTTGAATTTGATTAAAAGAAATGTTCATACTTACCATGTGTTTTCAGTATATTTTAAGGCTTAAAAGGGATAAAGGAAAGCAGACTGTAAGATGACTGTAGAAGTTGGGGCATTAACAGTAACAAAATATTCTAAAAATCCATGTTAAAAGCTTGAAGAATGATGACACAGAACTTTTTGAGGAAGTGTAGTGCTGTGTGCAGAGATGGATTTGTTCATAACTTATTGTGGGAAGAGGAAGACTGGACTGTGGTCTTTGTTTTGAAGCCAGTGATGAGTGTGTGTGTGCACACGTGTGTAGAAGACCACTGCCCAGCAAAGGTTTGTGTATATGATTAACTGCATTCACATGCAAGCCTGTGTAAGATCCACATCCACTCTATGCATGTTGTCATTGCATCTCCTAAGCACAACTAGAGAAATCTAAATTTTGTTACATTATTAAGATAATTTTAAGGTTTCTGGTTTTAGCAATTATAAGCTTTGAATTAAGAGCAGTCTTTCTGCCCCATAAAAACCCTATTCAGGAGCTGTTTTAAAGCTGCTGTGGGTGTCCTGTCTGGAGTTACCACCTGCCTTGCCTTCATTAAACCTGCCATCAACAACATCTTGCTAATGAGTCTGGGTGTTCCCTGCACAGCTTTGCTTATTGCTGAGTTGAAGAGGTGAGTATATTTCTCCTGAATGCAGCATGATGATACACTAGATCTGGCTTCAGTGCTTGTGATAGCAGATCAGAAATGCTTCCACATGCAAGAGCAGATCTAGTATAAACTTGTTTAGCAGTTCAGACATTTTTGTCAAAGATTTTTTTTTCCCCTAGGCCATTACACTAGGTCAGTCTTCTGTCTTGCAACATACCTCAAGCTGCAAACTGATCTAATGCAAATCTGTTTGTTTATTGTAGAATCAGAGCAAGGGTTTCACTTCATAGACAGCATTTCTTTTGTACAGTGTGCATAAGGGTGAGGTGGTGGCATGATTGCAGTCTGAATACTAGTGAGAATGTGGAGCAAAGCCTAAGCGTGTGTAGATGATGTTCCAGCTCTCGAAGTTGTACTGTGAGTCTTACAGCACTTCATCTTCTGCTATGGAGAATATGATGGAGTCAGACTGACAAAGATAAGGTTAATCACCAAGTTTTGGAGGATAGCTATCAATCAGTACCTTAGAAACCATAAAACCAGAATGCAAATAGAAAAGAACCTGAGACTAATCTTCACATTTTAAAGAGATCTTCCATAACACTGATACCAGAAACTGTCCAGAAGTGTTTTTTTCATCTCTTCAGCCACTGCAAAAAGGACTAGAGGAGTGCTAGCATTCAAACTTGTCCTTTTTCACCTCTTCTCCAGTGTCTGAGAAGGATTTCACAACTTATGTTGGCTCTTACATATTGCATATGTCCATCAAAAGAAATGAGTTAAGACCAAATGCTTCTGTTAGAACAAAGATTTTAATGTTTGCTGCATTACCCTGTTCTGCCACTGCTTCACTCTACAGTAGACGCCTCTGCTAACAATGTTTCGTAAAGGTGTTCATGAGTCTTTTCTCATCAGACATCCTACTATGTATTTCTGTGGTCAAAGACACTTGGGAAACAGCACCAAAATTAGCTGTAGACAAGAAGGTCAGTAGCTGAAGAATGTTGGTGGTGTCTCATTTTAATGACAGCACAAAGGAACTACTGACAGGGCCTAGGGACATCTGGTTATGGCACTGGATGATCCGTGTGAATTTTCTGTCAGTTCCATGTGAGTTTTGCAGGCATGAGCTCCTGAGAAACTTAAAAAGACAAGTAGCTAGTGTAAATACTGTTGTGTTAAATCTAGGAATTGTTATGCCTACAGGTACTTGTTTTTTAAAACTCCTTCTGAAAGGTCATGTGTTATTAAAATGTGTCTTTTTTTTAGAGAATTAAAAGAAGATAGACCTTTTTGAATTGGTGATTTAAAAGGGACCTGAAGTGAAATTGTAGCCCTCTCTAATTGCACATTGGGATGATGTAATACCTTTATTTTAAGCTATGCTGATCCCTTGGAAATTTAAATAAGATACATTCTTTTAAATCCCGAGGTGAGGGAGTCATCTCATCTCCCTTTGCAGGAGAAAAATTAATTTAAGCATTACTTAAAATGCTTGCTGTTTTTCCATTCTATTCTGCTATAGCCAGGAGGGGACCACACAGACAAGTCTTGTCAGGCTGCAGTGAAAATTTATCTTTGAAACAGGTATTTGGGGAAGAAAGGAGAAGTTTATTCTGTTCCACACTGAAGTTTTTGGTGTTTTAGACCAAAACTCACTCTTGTTATTCCTGTCCTAGTCTTGTGTCAATCTTTTACAGAATTCTGGTGTGTTTTCAAATGAGTATTTTCTTCCTCACGTTTGTCTTTGATGAGGAGGTAATATTGTCACAGGTTCCAAGATGTTGGAAGATAATGCTGCTGTATACCTGCCCAGTCCCTGAAATAGCAAATGACTGGAGCACACCAGTGTCTGCAGGAACTCTGATATTTAAATAACTGCCGTTTGTGTTAAATAGGGAACACTGTGCATTGTGTAGAAAAAAGGTGCAAATGGAAGTGAAATGTTTGTGGGATCCAGTATCTTTCATATTAGAGTGTAGGATAGGAGCATGTCGCAGATCTGTGCACAGCAGTGGGAACATGTCTTTCAGACCTTCTGCTAACAGCCCTCTGTTAACAGGGACCTCTTTCAGTGATAGTTTGAGTGATCAGAGCCCGTGTCTATTGATAAATAAAGGAAGGCTTCGTTTCCAGATGGTATTTGCATTACGTCTCTTCATTGTATTAGAAGTAGTTGCTTTGCAATCCCCTGCCTCCTCAGCAAGCATGTCCCCAGCCCTCTGAAGCACAGTTACTGCAGGAGCTGAAGACTCCATGATGGATGATCACAGAAAACCCAGGAGTATTAAACAGATCAGACTCTTTTTGCCCTAAGATAGTCCTTTGCAGAACACCCTGCAGCATCTACTCCTATGTTTATAAAAATATATTGCAGTTCCTGGTGATGGTACTGAGCAAACTTCTCATAACAGTCTGTACCATTTCTATGGCTGATCTTGTGTTGGGAACTAAGCGTTCACTTTTCCTTTGAAGCCTTGAATTCTTTGAACTGTGCAGATTAATTGCACTCTGCTCTTGGTATTTGAGCTATGCGTTTGAGGCCAAACCTCTTATCTTAAATGGAATGCAGTGGCATGTGTTTGTTTATGTACTTCAGACATGTCCAGGAAAGCCTTCATGTTCTCCATGCACACACCCTTTCCTCTGTCAGAATGCACAAGTACTCATCTCAGTAGTGTAGTTTTGTCTGTCAAATGTACGAAGTTGATCCATACATGTATCTGCTTAGGTACATGGTTTAGTGTTGCGCTCTTACAAACAGTTGTACGTCTCAGTGAAGACTGTAAATGTGCCTTAGCATTAGTGGGAATCTATATAAAGTGCCATCTATGAACAAATCTGAGCACTTGCTGAATGGCTGGTTGTTAACTGACAGCATGTGTAATTAATCACTAGTTGTCCTGAGTACCCCTCCCTAGGTATGGGAATGGTTTGATGTGTGCCCACCATTTGCACATTGGTGTTACAGACAATACCCAAAACACAGCTACTGATAAAAAGTTTGTTTGTTTTGTTACCTCACCACTGCCTTGCATCAAAGCCAGATTTACTGTATGTGAAGTTCATCTGTTAAGGACATTTGTGGTGGAGTCATTTTAAAGATGGGTGTTTGGCATTGTTTTATAACTTATGTTTTTCTTCTCAGGTGTGAAAACCTCCGTGTATACAAACTGGGTCTCTTTTCAGGTCTTTGGTGGATGCTAGCACTTTTCTGCTGGATCAGTGACAAAGCATTTTGTGAGATCTGGTCCTCGTTTAATTTCCCCTATTTGCATTGCGTATGGTAAGTGTTGTGTATAAAGTCCAAAGTTTGATTCAAATGTAAATCAAACTCACCACATTACCGTTCTGTGCTGCTTGGTGGCTATTTGTGGTTAGTTCTAGACAGAATTACTGGTAAAATTATAAACCCAGAGGAAGTCTCACACTATTCAATGTGGCAGATTTAGGAGTCTCTTTGCCCTGATCAAATTCTTCAGACACTAAGTTCATTAATTGTAACTGAATTCCTTGCCATACTGATTAGTAAAAATCCCACAGCGCTGCTCAGCTGAAGCTGTGATTATGAAAACTTAGATTTCCATCAATAACAGTGATGGTAATCCTCATGGTGAATGAGGATTAATGATTAATTAATGATGGTGAAGTAGAGGAACGGTGAAGGGCTTTGACGCCTTTTCTCTTTTACTACCCAGCAAATTGTGGTCGCTTACTCAGGGGGCTATATGTCAGTATTTCTGCACAGGTCTGTCAGGTGCAGAGAAGCCAAAAAGCAGGAGCTTGTTTAAACCAGGGATAGGCTACAGCTTTGTAGTTTTCTGTATTCTCTATATTTCTTTCCTTCCATGCAAAGGACAGGCAGCAACCCTATGGGGAATTGGGGGAATATGGTGAAGGACAGACTGATTTTATAGTGATCTAGTTGACTACTTTACTGAAGTTATGTTACTGATTTTTTTTCTTTCTTCTCTTTTTTTGTTTGTTTGTTTTGGTTTGTTTTGGTTTGTTTTTGGTTTTTGTTTGGTTTTCAATGTTTTGCTTGTTTGTTTTTGGGGGGGTTTTTTGGGGGTTTTTTTTGATGTGTGGTTGTCTGTTCTCAGGCACATTTTGATCTGCCTTGCGGCATACCTGGGCTGTGTCTGCTTTGCTTACTTTGATGCTGCCTCTGAGATACCTGAACAGGGCCCTATCATAAAGTTCTGGCCCAGTGAAAGATGGGCATTCATTGGAGTTCCCTATGTCACCCTCCTCTGCGCACAGAAGAAGTCACCTGTGAAGATTACATGAAGTTGACAATGGAATTGACAATTGGGGACCGATTTTCAATTTACATTCAGGCATAGACAATATTTAAATAACGATAAATGACCAGTGTTGTGTTTTCTCTTCTTGCTAAGATAGGCAGCACTTCAGATGTCATAGGAAGAGGAGGGAAGTGTGTTCTTTCCTCTCTTAAGAGGAGAGAGGAAGCAGGAACGTGGAGGCACTTGAACACTAAATGTTCACAAATGGCTTCTCTAGTTCGCTCTGTTTTGCACTGAATGTTTTTGATGTAGCATTTCTCTTGATAAAAGCTCTTTCCAAATACCAGCGTCAAGGAATGATGTTTCTGCAGTAAGTCACCTGTGGTGCTTGAGTCACTTCTCTGGTGGATTAAGGCCTTCTTTGTGAAAGAAGCCAGTCCAAGAAGCTTACGTGTCATCCTGTGTCCTTCATAGGCTCTGATTTTGCTGATAGCCACAAGAGTGTGCTTGAAGCCCTTGCTACTCCCAGCCTGGTGTGGCACACGGGAAGTGTGGCTGAGCATCACAGTGGATCACAGGGTACATGACTGCTTCCCCAAGTACAACAGGAAACTAGTGTTTGCAGCTGGGTAACTGTGTAAGTGCAGTTAGGCAGTGTAGATGCAGAAGTAGCTGACACAAGTCCCTAAAACTAAATAGGAGTTCAAGGCTCTACTGTGTTTCCACTGACCTGTGAACATTTAGATGCTGCATATTTCCCTTTTTCAGAAATGCCACAGAAATCCCTCTACCTCTGCGGACACTTTTGGTCTTGAATTTGGCATTGAAGCACACACAGAAGTGTAGATACTAACTTCAGTAAGATCTTAGGTCAGCATGGATTGACAGTGTGATTAAACTGCAAAAACTTGTAGTTTTGTGCCTGGCTGCACATGTCATTTGAGAGGTTGCTTCTTACCAATGCATTGCAAAGTGATGTAAAAAATAGTCCAGTGCTCCACTGATTATACTTAGGAAGAAAGTGGGTAACTGCTTAAAAACCAAGCTGAAGACCTAGATTTCAGTGAGCAGTGAAATGGGATATTGCATCTCGCATTCTTAGGAAAGGACAGATTTTCTGTTTATTTTCAGCCTGTTTTGTAAAGATAAGGGATGTCTAGGTTGATTTAGTTCTAAGATTAGTGGGGTTGACATTTAGGAATGACTATGGTTCTTGTAAGCAATTTGTGCTAGGCCTGTTTAGAAAACAATGCGAAGTGCAGGCATGTTTTTCAAATATTAGCCATTGTAGCTGCTAATAGCTGCAGTTTTGGAGAAAAAAGGGTCTACTCACATTCCATCAAACTGTAATATCAGAACTGTAAGTGGGTTAAGGCTTTAAATGTACAGTGTTATTAATAAGTGTTATTTTCTTTTTTGTATTAGACCAGGAAATACGATTTCTTCTAAAAGAAGAAATCTGAAGCTGTACATCTAAAGCTGTACTTGTTTTTTATCAATGTGAAAATGTACTCTATACAGTGTGATCTTTATGAAAGTGACTTTTAGCAATAACTTTGTGGTGAATTAACTTTCAAAGCATTTTTAAAAGCTTTTGTACTCAAGTTTATGCTTAGAAAGCAACAACTATGTTGTATGCTGATCCACTTAAAGCAGATTGCTAGTGGAAAATATGACTGCCTTCTTGAGACCTTCAGAGTGGGTAAGTAGACTACTGTCAGATGACTGCCTGATCATAAAAGCAGCGAAATCTTTCCAGTGGAACAGTGCATATTTATACCACTTGCTAGTAGATTTGAAACGTCTTTTTTAACACAAAGTGATACAATTTTTGCATGTAACCTGTTTGTAAAAATTCATGTTGGAATGTTTGTTACTCTTTGAAACGCAGCTGCTTTGTCCTTTTCCTTTCTCTCTCCCTGATTATGAAATGTTCAGTTTCAAACACTTCTCAGGTATTAAAAGTTATATTATTATGCAGATAGGATTGCTGGCTGGAACCCAGCTAAGGTTTCTGATGCCTAATATGGCCCTACTTTGAGTAAGATTTTTTGATTTTTTTGCTAAATTATTATATAACAATAAGTAAGTTATTTTCAGTATTGCTTGGGAATGTAATAACTGCAGACATAATGTACTATTCAAAATGACTGGAGCCTTCTTATGCAATATTTTGTTTGATAGCAACCTCTGACTTAAAGGGCTCTGATCAGTCTGCTATTAACTGCTGTTCTGCTCTGCAGAGTCTAACTGCTCACAAAGAAGTAATTTCATAATTTAAAAAATCTCAGTGCATTCAGCTATTGAAGAGGTAAATGAATACAGATACAGGCCAAGAATCATCTGTATTTTTAGTAACTAACCTCTAGCCTTCGTATTCTTGATAGGAGATTCTGTGAACAAAGATCACTATGTGTTATTCAAAGCTTCATTGTAGAACTAGTTGGCATATTCCACTGTAGCAGCAGCTCACCACTTTTAAATGTAGCTACTGCACTTTACATTACATTAGTATTAACTTCTATGTTCTGAAAATAGCTAAATTTATTTCAAAGAGTAAAAAACATGCAGTTTTTACATCTTCACGGATTGCAGCTTCAGGTTAACATTGGTGCCCAAAAAAGTGTGTGTATGGCATACAGAGGGGTTTGTGCACTGGCTCATACAGATGAATATATATCAGCTGAAGTAGCTGTATCATGTTGCGGCAGTATAAAGTGATGTGTATGCACCTGCACGTTTTAAAGCCTCAGAATGCTTTCTTCCCCACCAGCAGGAAGTGAGTTGGTTCATAGTCTTTAGGTTCAGTTAGAAGTTTATTTAGTGGGATGCAGTTGAGCATATTGTAGATACTGGCATGTGATATCCATCATTCCTTTAATGTTAAACTTCATGTTTTTTAAGACAGGATGGTTAACTTTCCATGGTGGCAAACACTTTCCCAATTCACAGTCATTAAAAACTCAATAAATAGTATGTAAGGAATGGTGTTGGGCTGGGTTTTCTTCCTGTCTCTGTTGAAGTCTGTATGCTAAATGTTTGTGAAAAGCATGTAACACTTTGCAGCATTAATCTGCATTTGGAGTAAATATTGTTTGCTTTTTCATACATGATGTTTCTGGAGAAAAAATGCAGCTGCTAGTATAATTCCTTGAAATATAGTAAGGATAACTTCTCCCTTACACAGATAACAGCAGTTCTGACTCATGAAGGAGGAGGGAGACTGCATTAGATATAAGGCCATTAATTAGTGAGATGGAGATTACTTTGCTTAACAAACTGGTTTTTGCAACCGGAACAAATACTTGGGAAACTCCAAGCCCATGAAACAACAGGGATGAGTAGCAAGAAATGGCTAAAAATGAATGGCCTGTTGTCATACTTTGAGATTGCCCCCCCCCAAGAGTCGGGGGCTCAGAGGTGATTGGGTGCCAGGGCAGTGTTCCCTGGAGAGCCAGTCACCATTCACGTTGTTCGCTTCTGCTCAAAATCATATAAACACAGCACCTGAAGCTGTTGGCAGTTTTTCTGTTGGTGTCTGCTGCGTGTAGGTGGAGAAGGCCAGGGGGTGGCTGGGCTCCTTCTTTCCCCCTCCTCCGGGTGGGGAAGGGAGCCCTGCAGCTCCCCAGCTCTGCCTAGGCCAGAGTTAGAGGCAGCATTTGGAGTGTGTGCTGTGAAGGAAGAGATTCACAGCACCTGAGGTAAGAGGGAGGAGGCCAGGCCCTCTGCCCCCCCCCTGCAGCTGCAGGACACTTGGGACAGTGTATAACTGGACCGAGCTGTCTGTGGCCAAGGCTAGGGGGCTTTTACCCCCCCACTGCATTGAGGCTGGTGGGGGGTGGATTTTAAGGCTCAGCATTGGAGCAGAGCCAAAGTGGACAGTCTAAATATAGCTCGGAGCCAGGGAAAGGAATCCCAGGTGCAATTGGAGACAGACCGAAGAGAGAGGCCTGGAGGATGTCTCTGCCATGATTTAAACTCAGGACAGCCAAAAACCCGGAGGAGGAATCAATATTCCAGGACGTGTACATTGATAAGCTACACTACAACAGCCTAGGAACCGAGGTATGAGACTGAGAAAGACAGATCACGCAGCAGACCAAGGAGAAAGGACTCAAAGCTACTTTCTTGGACTTCATGAGGAGAAAGACTTCAGTAAACAGCTGAAGGTTGGTTTAGGAGTGTTCAGGGGCCCAGAACACTCCCACGAGGGAGAAACTGGTTACTTCCCAGCCTGAAAAGGCTTCTCCTGGACTAAAGTTAAAGGGAGGGGCTTAAAAGGACTGATAAAAATGTAATATATATATAGTTGCCTTTAGTTTGTATAGTATTTATTTGTGTAAAACGTATATACTTCCCCCTTCCCCTATAGAAGCCTCTGGCCTGAAAGTTTCTCTCTGGTGTTGGGATAAATTGCGGGAAGGGGTGGGGGGAAGCCTGGAAATTGGATTTTGGATTTCTAATGTGGCTCAAACTGCCACCCCTGTATTTCCACAAATACAGGAAACTGGGTCAGAGTGAGTACATCTGGGAGAACAAAGTGTGGATCTTCAGTATAAGACTGTGCTCCCAATTTAAAGGAGTGAGATGATGGCTGCATAGTAGCCTTGCAATTGCCCCTCCCCTCCTATTTCCCTTTTACCATGGTTCCTCTCGCTTCATGTAAAAGACAATTTTTGAGACATTCATGGGTCCTCATAAGCAATTATAATCAAGCTTGAAATAGCTGTTGTGTGAAAGCACAGCTGTAATTCAAGAGTGTTACTCACTCCAAATTAATGTCTGTTTCTGTTTAAGAGTCAAAACCAGCTAGTGGCTTAGCTCATATACTATCCTGTCACTTAGTCTGCTCTTATCTGGAGTTTTATTGACTGGTTTCCCATGGAGGCTAGGGAAACATCATTAAACCACGGCGTTTCTCTGGTAATTTCAGAGCTCCAGGCTCATTTTGATGAAATCTGACATAGGGAAGGCCTTGGAGACAATTTCCTACCAGCTGTGCAAAAGATGGTCAGATAGGGAAGCCAGGCCACTGAAACGAGCTGTTGTTAAAATAATGGAGAACTTACCCAGGAAGGAAATGCAAGCAATGCCCAAGTTCTGGATTGTCTTGTGGTTTGTACCAGCTGAAGCATCAGGAGCTACTTACACTTGGAAGAAATTTCACAGGCTTCTGTTCCAGGGATAGAGGAATCACTTGCTATAACACACACAAAGCAGAGGCAAACCCATTCATGGGATAGTGTTTGCTCAAGGACCAGGCTCCACTTGGTGGATAATGCAGGAAGATGGAGAAACCTCAAGGGGACCTTATCTTTGGGTGAACTGTCCATAACACTGT